AATAGGTACCAAAACTTTTATAATGTTTTACTCTTATTTGGTCAATTACTTTGAAAAAGAAGACAATATATAAGAGTTCAATGCCCCACTAAAGTAATCCAAATTTGGAGAAGTAATATAGCATAATCTATAGCTACAAGTATAGCCGAACTAAAACTTTCAGGGTGGTGGAATTGAATCGAGATGTAGAATTTCCATGATTTTGCTATTTTGGTGGCTTTCAGCTTCTTCTTTATTCAACCCGGGCTCGGTTGCAATTTCAGTATCAATGTCATTTTCCAAAGCATGCCTCGACGATGAGTTTGGAGTTCCAATAATCTTCGTGTCTCCGGGGGACATCAGACATGTGTGTACACTCTACAATACCATCAAGATGAATTAACCATCAACTTATTTCAATTCCAGGCAACCTATATATTGAACTCTTAGGAGATAAAACCTCCTATCGTACCCAAAGAAACATATAAACCTTCAAATTGGTAAAGAAACATTAATGCATAGGAGAATTCACATTTTGACATCTAAATTGGTAAAGTTATATGCATTTGTATTCCAATACCAATGAGTGGGTGAAGATAGAGAAAAAACGGTTGGGTGTGTTTCGAAAAACAAAGAAAATTAATTAATTAAAATTAATCAAATAAAATGACAAAGCGGAAAAAGAAAATAGATGAAGCAGAAAAGCCAAAGCTCGTGCTACGCACAATTTCCTTAAATCGTATTCGTTGCCTCCCGGGGTGCTAGGAGCGTTGCAACGACCGTTTCCCAGGATACAATGACTTCGAACGATAGTTTAGCACTCAAACTAAAGCTCCAACGAAGTGCAGTACGTTGTGTGTTGTCTATTTGCAAAGCAGCTACCTGCCTTTTATAGGGGTGGATTTGCATGTGTTAATGACTGTTTAAGGCATATGAACGTTGGACATCAATGCCCAACGTTTGGGACGTTCATATGAACGTTGGGACTTCAAGGCAGCATGATGGCATTGATCTGCAAATGTTACTAGTCCAAAACGTTTGCATTAAGGGCCAGGAACGTACCGGAAGAACAAAAATTAACATTATCTTTAGGAGATAGATTTTCGGACGACATTCGTGTCCGCAGGTCGCCCGCGCACGCAAGTTGGGCTTCTTGTTCTCCGGTTTCGGAATTTGATTCACACCCCCCTGCGTGCGTGGAGAGAGCCTTTACCCTAAGGAATCATAACTTCTTAAGGGGGGTTTCCCTTTATAAAGGGTTCAAATTCCCTTTGGATTTTCGGTGTGGGAAAAACCCCCACTAAAACCCACCTTTTTCCTAGTTTTCTCCATTCCAACGGGTAAACTTCGAAAAGCGATTCTCATTCACCCGTTATCCGTTTTGAGCGTACCATTTATCGAATTGTAGCCCTAAGCAGGGACAATCTAAAACCACTTTGACCCGACCCAAATCGGAAGTGGACCCCGCTCAAAAAGTTGCCCCAAAATGACCATTTAATGCAATTTTAACACACTTTTTCCAACAAAAACATTACAATTGATTCAAACACCGAGATTCACATTCAGCACCTTGAAAATGATATAGGTGCACTTCAGAAACATAATTCAGTTTAGGAACTAATAAATGATGATCAATGAGGGAAACTAACATGTTAATATGCGCATAGCTTAATCATCTAAAGCAATGAGTCCCCCATGATCTAAATTAACTATTACGGAGTAGATCTCTTCTACACTCTTACAATTAGTCCCTTGCTTCTTTTTCATGTTTTCTTATTGTTCTTTAGTTTTAGGATAGACAAGAAAAAAGCGATTTAGTGAAGCAATAAACTAAGGAAATCTTTTAATTAACAAATTAAAATATGCAGTTCACAAAAAAAAATAGTTTCAGTTTAAACAATAAAAATTGAGCAGTTTTTTTTAATGAAACAGATATTTTTGCTCTTTAGATTCAGAAACTAAATTATTGAACTAATTGATCGATCTTGCTAAGATGATTCTTAAATGTTCAATAGAGTTTTCAATCTTAAAACAAAGTAGTCATAAACCTGAAAGAATCATATGCACCGGGCCAAACGTATGAAAAGTTAACCATACACATTACGTAGTAGAATTTAATACTCCCTCCGTCCCGAAAAGGTTGGTCAAAGTTGACTTTCACGTGGATTAATAAAGTAAAAATTGTGTGGTTGAAATTTGTGCACAGGAAAGAGAATTAACTTTAGCCACATGTTTTACTTTAAATGGAAATGACCAATCTTTTTAGGACATCCAAAAAAGGAAATTTGGCCGACCTTTTCGGGACGGAGGGAGTAATTAATAAGTTTTAACATATACTTTTATGTTATAGCTGAAAGAAGCTCTAGAAAAAACTCTTTCAAATTTGTCATCGAGTCTGGAAAGATTTAATATGTCTAGTCTACTAATTTCTATTGTTTCTCACCACCTAAATCCATTAAACTGTATACTTTAATAAGAAGATAAAAATGATCAGAGAGACAATTGTAATCACGAGTGCTTAGAGCATCTCTAATGCTAAAACGTTAACGGTGCATACGTGGCATGAGAAATAACCAATTAAAAAACAATAAATACAATATCTCTCTCCTTCTTTTCACGGTCTTATGTGTTTATGGTAAGTTTTTGTCTGCAGTGTCAATCACAATGTCTACATCTAGACATTGTGCTTGACATTGTGAAGAAAAACTTACCAAAATGATGTAAGATCCTTCAAATAAGGAGAAAGATATTGTATTTATTGTTTTTTAATTGGTTATTTTCCATACCACGTATGCACCGTTAACGTTTTAGCATTGGAGATGCTCTTAATAATAATTAGTTCATAACCCAATCTAGCTTTGATACAATAATAAGAATTGTGATTTCATCCTAAAAGCTCAACCTGATAGGGGAAGTAGCACGAATCTTAATACATACGAAGTAGTTTAATAGGTATATAGTAATTAAATTAGTAATGGGGTGTAAGACAAATACTCAACACTTTTCCCAAAATCATCAAGAAAAGTTTCATTCTCAACACAATTGTCATTTTCATTGATTTTACTGCCATAAAATGGCAATATTGGTGAAAACATCATTTTCGGGGTGAAAAACACTGCATAAATTGCTTTAACTAAATTATATACTCCCTCTGTATTTAAAAGTTTCATACACTTTCCTCTTCTGGTAAGTTTTTCTTTTAAAAATACCCAATTACTAATACTTTTTCTACTTTTTATCCTCTCTTTCATACTTTTTCACCTTCTCTCCAACTTTTTCTATATTATTCATTACTCCTGCTATTCTTCCTTGATTCTTGTGCCCAAAGTTAATGTATGGAACAAAAAGAATACGGAGGGAGTATCTTTAGACTAAATTAAATTAGTAAATTTGATAATCCCTCCGTATATTAAAATTTCCCTGCACTTTTCTTTTTGGGATGTATCTAAAAGTTCCCTACACTTTCCCCTTTGGTAAGTTTTTCCTTTAAAAATACTCAATTACCCTTACTTTTTCTACCTTTTTATCCTCTCTTTCATACATTTTCACCTTTCCTCATATTTTTCCTATACTATTCATTACCCTTATTATTCTACCTTAAATCTTGTGCCATACCAAACGTAGCGAACTTTTAAATGCGGAGGGAGTATATAAATAAATAGTAAAATATATTCCATATACTAATCCGTAATAAGTACTCCCTCTGTCCCTAAATAAACTTTCAACTTTCCTTTCTCGTCCGTCCCAATTAAAACTTCCATTTTCCCTTTTGGGCCAAAATTCGTGGTTTACAACAATTCTTACACATTTTCCTCTCATTTGCACAACTCTCCACCACACAATACCCACTATCTTAAACTGTGTGCCAAACTTATTTTGAAGTTTAATCATGGACGGAGGGAGTAATAGATAAAATTTAGTTAATCTACGTATCTAACAGTTCCTTAACAATTTTGCATATACTCCGTATATTTTTACATGAATCGAGAACCGAACAGATAATAATTAATGTTGAAATTGAAGGAAGTCATAACGATATTGTGCGATTCGGTTTGCCGGTTCTGGATTACAAAGTCTTAATCCCGGGGAAAAGTTTTAAAGTTTGAAGGGTAGAAAGTCATTTTACAATTTTAGCCTCCAAAAAGGATAAAAAGTACTCATAGTTTTAGTTTAGAAATACGACTTCTTTAGAGATCCCCATTTAGAGCCCATTTGATAATATCCAAATCGGTTGTACTGCAGATTTTATTAAAATTTATGAAGTTCTGGTTGAAGTGGTTGTTTTGATTGATTCTACAGAAATTCATGAAGTTATGATTGAAGTGGCTGCATTGACTGATTCTGCCAATTTATGAATAAAGTATATTTAAAATATATATTAATAGAGTAAGAAAAAATAATATGAAAAATCAGTTAAAATGATCCCATACAGTAACTTTAGTCAATACATCCAGAAAAATAACTTCAACCTCACCTTTTTATTATTATTACACAATTCAACGCGTGAAATAAAAAATATGTGTTTGGTAAAAAATAGTTGATAAGCCTGATAAGTCAGAAATCAATGAACCCAAACGGCCCCTTAATTTAAGAGGTAATATAGGTTTGCGTTTCCAAAAGTTATAAGTTTAATAAAAAAATTGGTTGATAACCCGGATAAGTTAGATGTGTCCTCAAACGGCCCCTTAATTTAAGAGGTAATACTCCGTATATGTTTGTATTTCTAAAAGTTATGTGTATGATAAAAAAATTGGTTGATAAACTTATAAGTTATAAAATGTGTGTTTCCAAACGACCTCTTAATTTAAGATTTGCTTTAGGCTTTGTTTGCAAACAATTAATTTAAGTGCTTTTGACTTTTTTTTTTAAGAAAAAAGCACTTATTTTACCAAACAATACCAACTTTTACTTTCTCGGTTTTCGTGTAGAATCTATTTTTTACTTTTTCTATTACACAAAAAACACTTATTTTACCAAACACTACCAACTTTTACTACTAATCACTTTTTTCCAAAAAGTACTTTTAGTAAACCTTACCGTCCAAAAGTTATAGGTTTGCGTTTCTGAGCCCAGTGCGATTCCATATCGGAGTCACATGGCGTTGACACAGAAGGCGCGCAAAGGGTTTACTTATTTTCCTCTATGGCATCAGATCAGCGTTTTTATTCCTCCGAAACAGATCAACCTGTAAGCTTCGAATCATTCTCGTTTTTTTGAAATAGAAAATGACGGATTAACAATATTAAATGGTGAATCATGAATAAATTTAGAATGCTAACTATTTAGCTCGTCCCTGTTTATAATTTTTTTTCTTCAGTTGTGCCTTTTGAGTTTGATCTGCCTCTAGCTCATGAGTTGTGTTCTGTTTTCTCCAGATCTTAAAATTGCTTATTTGGCTTGCTCTCACTAGTTTTGTATCTAGTAAGGGATTGAAAATATATAGAGATTTTGAATATAGCTGCACAGGTTGACATTGAAATCGCCAAATTCACCGAATATCCTTCACACATTGAAAGCATGTTAACTTTAATTTAAACATATCAATCAATCAACACAAAGAGCCCTTTTAGTAATAATGAAATTGGTTGATTTGGCTTATTCGGCTGAAATTTATTAAATTTTGGTTGCAGAGTTGCATGTGCTAATTTTGTTAATTTATGAAATAAATAATTAAAAGATTATATGAAAAAATTAGTCATCTTCAATAACTTAAGCCAATGAGCCAGAAAAGTAACTCCGACCTTACTTATTATAGTTATTACACAATTCAGCGATCATCTATTACGAATCTCTCTTTAGAGAGAGAAGCTCCGATTTTTCCTAAGGCATGAGCCGTGGGGTGTTGTTTTCCGATTTCGATCTCTTCGATCAAAGATCGGCTTTTTGTTTGCTTTGACGATTTCATACCAAGACAACAGGTGGCCGGCGTGTGTCTGAGGGCTGGGTCGCGGTGTGAGGGATAGGGGCTACTGTTTCGGTGCGGCTAAGGATGAACAAAGGGAAGGGCATCGAGATTGACGGAGGAAACATGGAGAAACTGATCAGTCTCCCCGTGCTAGGGCTTAGAGCTTTTCCGATGGGCAATTTTCAAGCGCAGATCAATGGTGAACAAAAGGACAAGAACGAATTGACGGGTGATGATGAGGCCGAAGAGGCGGTCGAGTCAGAGGAAAACCGCCTTGGTGAAATGACAATTGTTGTGAGGGTCCGGCCTCCTCCAGACCCACCGCCAAAGATTGATCGACACGTTTTGGAGTTTGCTTATAATTTATCTTTTCTTCATTTTAATTATGTTGTAAGGTTCTTGCATTAGGTTTGGGGATGAGAGGTGTACGATAATCGTTGTTTACTTTAAGTTGGTCAGTTCAAGTATAGCGAGTTATACTGCTTTGATAAAGGTGGTTAACTCTGAGTCTCGGCCAATGACAGATGGTTATTTGTGGTTCTTTTATTATTCTGTATCCCTGTTGAATGTTATTTTATTAATTTAATCCCCCTTCGATAAAAACCACCGATCATCTATCGTGCCGAAGTCAAGCTTCATTTGTAAAGCTCATCAAGCTCGAACCAAACACCATTATTACTTAAACGAGTGAAACTCAAGATCTAGATGTTTGGGATCTGTTCGGTTTAACAGCTGTAATCAAAACCAAAATACTCCCTTGATAGAAACTCAGATGTTGTAACAGTAAATTGAGGAGTAATATTGATGTAAAACTGAGAAATGAAGAAGATGATACAGATGAGGCACTCAGCTCTCCAAAACCAATTCCCGATTCCAAAATCAGCCCCCTTCCCTATTCTCCCCTTTCCCCTCTTATAGAAATTATATCCTAATGGGCCAGCCCACATTTTATGACATGGCCCAGGATCCTTATTTGTACACTATTACAGTCTTTATCTATTATTCTAGTATTCTTATTAGTAATAGTATCTATATTCCTATCAATACTCCCCCCTGAACAACCACCTTGTCCTCAAGGTGGGGAGTAAGAACCAGCCATGCCGTTCAACTTCTTTCTCGCGCCTCTTCCTTCCTAGTATCTCCCTGTTGATTTGACCATGTGCTTCAATGCTTGCAACTTTAAAATGAAGGATGTTTTTTTTGCAGAAGTTATATCTGGAGAAGTTTTATTTTCTTTAGTCGCCTTTAAACCTTCAATAGCAACAAATAGCTCCTTTTGATGTTCTTTTCTGTCTGTAACAGTTAACTGCTTTGATATTGTTGCTTCCAGATTTTTCAGAAACAAACCATCATTCCCATCAAGTATAATCCCTATTCCATTTTGAATCTTCTTCATACAAATATCACTGTCAAATTTGAAACCATCAGTCTTATTCAGCCCCACCACAGTCAGGTTTGATGCTCTTGCACACAAGTTGTCTGTGCAACTTTGCCAATATAAACTTTACTTCCAGATATAGCATATTCACTAATTTTTGAGCCAAATGGATCAAAGGAATAGCAAAAAGAACTACTGTGAGGGGAAACAAACTCAACCCTGTCTTCCACAACCCTGATTCTATTTGCCAATCGTCATGCCCAATAACTATCATCTGAAAGAAGTGAAGGGGGGTTCAAAAAACTGGTCCCAGAAATTTCAGAAAGATTCCATGTATAAGCAGTTATCTCTGCTCCTTCCCCCACGTAAACCCATTCATTGTGGTCCCAGAAATTTCAGAAAAGCACTTAGAGCTTTTCTGATGGGAATTTTCAAGCGCAGATCAGCGGTGAACAAAAGGACAAGAACGAATTGACGGGTGATGATGAGGCCGAAGAGGCGGTCGAGTCAGAGGAAAACTGCTTTGGTGAAACAACAATTGTTGCAGGGTCCGGCCTCCTCCAGACCCACCACCAAAGATTGATCGACGCGTTTTGGAGTTTGCTTATATTTTCTCTTTTCTGCATTTTAATTATGCTGTAAGATTCTTGCATTAGGTTTGGGGATGAGAGGTCTACGATAATCGTTGTTGACTTTAAGTTGGTCAGTTCAAGTCTAGCGAGTTATACTGCTTTGATAAAGGTGGTTAACTCTGAGTCTCGACCAATGGCGGATGGTTATTTGTGGTTCTTTTATTATCCTGTATCCTTGAATGTTATTTTATTAATTTAAGCCCCCTTCGATAAAAAACACCGATCATCTATCGTGCTGAAGTCAAGCCTCATTTGTATAGCTCATCAAGCTCGAACCAAACACCATTATTACTTAAACCAGTGAAACTCAAGATCTAGATGTATGGGATCTGTTCGGTTTACAGCTGTAATAAAAACCAAAATACTCCCTTCATCCCATTGGAGTTTGCCAACTTTCTTTTTTTCATTGTCCCAAAAAACTTTGTTACTTTTCTATTAAAGCAACTAATTTGTGGTTCTGCACATTTTTCTCTCCTCTGCACAAATCTCAACCACACTGTTTTTGCTATTTTGATTTTTGACCTACTTTGCACTAGGCAAAGTTCACCGGGACGGAGGTAATATGTCATTTTAGATTGTTTTATTGAGGTAGTACTCGAATCAAAACGATCCTTGAGTTTTGAACAATAATTCACTTCTCTTCTTCAACCTTTACAATGTTCCTTCATAGCAGCTTCTACAACTTCTACTTTAGGGTTAGGACCCTTAACGCAGGCTCACAAATCTTAAAAACTAGAAGAAAAGCCAGAAGAATGGTAGAAGACTTTAATGTGGTTCAGCCAATAGATGTTATTGACTTGATCCACGGGGCAACTAGCTTTTTCTTTCTTATAATGAGTTTTTTCAAGTATAAGAGTCAATATATTGGCAAACAATTATGATAAACTCTTAATTAAACTATGAGCTTGACTGCTATGAAAGAAAAGGCCGAGCTAGGGCCGGCTGCATGTCCTTGTTTATTTGGCCAAAGCCTATATCCCAACAATCTCCCACTTGGATGCTTCGAAAATATGTTCAACTACACTCCACTCCTCCATACTTCTATAAACACCATTTGTTCTCTAGATCCACCTAGTTGCTCCTTGCCATTTCAATGTTATTCCTCAAGGCCAGTTGATGCCATGCAAAGCTGAAACTTCTCAGTTGACCACCTTCGTAAAAATATTAACAAGATTCTTTGTACCAAGAATCTTCGTTTGTAGCAACTCTCCATCATTTATCAACTCCCCGATAAAATGATACTTCATCTTGATTCTGGGCGACTGCTTGTCACAATAAAGAACACAATCTTTATGCTCTAAACCAAACTCTGATACAAGTTCTTCAATCATATAAGCTCTTTGCTTGTTTTTGCGATCACCATATATTTTGGCTCTATGAATAGCCAACTCTTCTGTAACTTGGACATCTAATTAATAGTAGTTCCTCCCATTATGAACATATAACCAATAGTTCTCTTTCCAAAATATTGACAACCGCCCAAATCTGCATCTGTGAAGCCCTCTAAGATAACATCTTTCTCGCTGAAACATAATGTTGTCTTAGATGTGCCCTTCAAGTAACGTAGTAACCACTTGACTACTTCTGAATGCTACCTTCCTGGATTTGACCTAAATCTGCTAACAACTTCATTGCATGAGAAATATATGGTCTTGTGCATGCCATAACATACATCAAACTGCTGACTGCATAAGTAACCCTTTCCATTTCTTCCTTGTCTTTATCCATTTTAGGTGATTACTTCTTAGTAAGTTTAAAATGACTTCCTAAGGGTAAAAGGGTACTTCTAGCTTTAGGTTCTTTCTGATTGAATTTCTCTAGCACCTTCCCGATATATTTTTCTTGAGATAACTTTAAGGTACCTTTTGCTCTATCTCTAGTGATGCTGAAACCAAGAATCTGCTTAGCAGTTCCCGAAGTCTTTCATCTCATTTTTTTGAGATAACTATTTCTTGATCTTGTTGACTTTTCTCATGTTTGGTCCTCTAATCAACATATTCTCAACATTTAACAACAAGATGATATAGGAGGATTTGAATTTCTTCAAGTAACAACAATGATGCAAAGACATTTCATATAGCCACTCCTTTTCATAAAGTTGTCAAACTTCATGTACCACTGTCTTAGTGCTTGATTCAACCCGTAGATACTTTTCTTCAGTTTGCAAATCAAGTTTTCTTTCCAAGCTATCTCAAAACCTCCTGGTTGCATCATGATAATATCTTCACCACGATCTCCATGTAAAAAAGTTGTTTTGACATCCAACTGCTCT